GCCCATCAACTGGAGACTGGATAAAGGAGATGTGGTTTTTTAATAAAATGGAATACTACTCAGCCATAAAGAACCAGAAACTAGAGACATTTATAGCTAAATGGATGCACATTGAGGCCATCCTCTTAAGTGAAATAAATAGAGGACACACTTGTGTAAATACCAAATAGTTTCTCTAGCATGAGAAACTGAAAGTGTAATTAGGGATACAAAAGGATGAAATTGCCTAATAATATATTTCTCCGATTGTGTTTCCATCATGCGTCATATGACTATATCGAAATTTAAATTAGGGAGAAGCTTGGCTTATGTGGAGTTTGCTAGCTAACTGGAGTTTTTTTTCCTGACCACTATTTGTTCAATGTTGGTTTTGGGGATCTTTCTGAAACAAATCACATCCTCTGGTGTCTTGTTGGTGCTTCAGATGTTTTTTTAAGTCATATGGAAAAATGTTTGAGTGCTTTTCAGTTTTGTTTTGGTTGAGTTCTACTGTATTTGAATATTACTGTAGTTTCTTTTCTCTTGCATTGTTCTTTTTTCAGTGGTTTTAATTTCCGTATGTGTGTGTTTGATAATAAAGTCATTAAAAGAAAACTTTTTTCTTTGTTCCGGGGATTGACCTCGGGTCCTTGCACTTGTGCAGGAGGCGGCAAAACCACTGAGCTAAATCTCCGGCCCCAAAGAGAAATCATTTTTTTTTTTTTGGTATCGGGGATCGAACTCGGTACCTTGCGCTTGTGAGGCAGGCAGCGGAACCACTGAGCTAAATCCCTGGCCCTAAAAAAATACTTTTTAAAACAATTATATGAGCTGGGGATTTAACTCAGTGGTGTTGTGCCTGGCAAGCACAGGGTCCTGAGTTCGATTCCAGGTACTGGGAAAAAGAAAGTTATAGATTCACAGGAAGTTGCAAAAATAGTATAAGTTATGTGCACCCTTCATTCAGTTTCCCTCAATAGCAACACTTAACATACCTACAGTTCAAGAAAACCAGGAAACTGACATTGGAACAATTCATACACAAAACTTACTCAGATTTTAGTAGTTTGTTGTTTTTTTTTTTTAGTACCGGGGATCGAACTTGGGACCTTGCGCTTGTGAGACAGGCGGCGGAACCACTAGGCTAAATCCCTGGCCCAGATTTTAGTAGTTTTATATTACTAGGGTGAATGTGTGGTGCAAATTTATGACACCACCAGACACAGAACTCTTCCATCACCACATGGGTGTCCCACATGCTTTTCCAACTCCTAATAGTATCTCTTCTCAATCAATATATTTTTGTCATGAGTAAAATGTTATGTAAAGAGGATCATTACATATCACTTTGTTTTTTTGTGATGGTCTAGTTTTGTAGTCCAGACTGGCCTTGAACTGGTGGTGATTCTCCTTGCCTCAGCCTCCCAAGTGCTGGGATTATAGGTGTGTGCAATTAACATAATTTTTGATACAGTGTTGCCATTTTTCACTCACCATAAAATCATCCAAGTTGCTGCATGTAACAGTTCTTTCCTTTTATTACTGAATGACACTACTCAGAAACAGTAATCCGGGATGTGCCTATTACCATTCACCTATCTAAGAACAACTGTATTTTTCTTCCTTTTTTTTGGAGACAGAATTCTGCTTGTAGTTCAGGCTGGCCTTGAACTCACTCTCTAGCCCATGATGGTTCTCAATTTGGAGTGATCCTTCTGTTTCTGGCTCCCAAGTGCCGGTATTACAGGTATGCAGCACCAGCACCTCTGGCAGTATTTTTTCCCCAAATTTGATCTATTAGAAATAAAGCTTCAAGGGCCAGGGATTTAGCTCAGTGGCACCACGCCTGCCTTGCAAGCGCAAGGACCTGAGTTCGATCCCTAATACCAAAAAAAAAAAAAAAAAGAAAAAAAAGAAATAAAGCTTCAAATCATTTTTATAGGTTGTTGTGTAGACCCAAGTTTTAGATAAATGATATAGTTGGATTACACAGTAAGCATACATTTACATATGAAATTGACAAACTATAAAACCTTTTTCCAAAATGCCAAAATTTGGGGCCGGGGATTTAGCTCAGTGGTTTTGCCGCCTGCTGCGCAAGCAAAAGGACCCCAGTTTGATCCCCAGTATCCCCCCCAAAAGCCAAAATTTTATATTCTCACCAGCTATGTATGAGATACCAAGTTTCTTCACAGCTTTTCCAATACCTGGTATTATCATTATTTTTTGTTTTAGCCTCTAATATATATGAAGTGAATTAGTGAAAACATGCTAATTGTTCTTCTCAGACTCTGCAAAAGCTTTTCATCTTCAGAGAAAAGGTTTGACAATGGATGACCTGTCAGAGTTTACATGATTTGGTTTTGTTTACCTCACTGACCTCACTTCTTGCTCTTCTTCTTTCTATCCCAGCTCTATCCTTGCTGCTGTTCCAACATGCTAGTCTGTAATACTACGATGTACTTATATTCTAGTTTTTCATCCTGGCTTATACTTTCCATAGACATCCTAGAGGTCTAAAATGATAGGCATATCTTTGTAAAATATGTGATTTTTTTTTTTTTGTCCTTGGTTGTTGAGGCAATTTCAGAAAAATAAAGGTAAAAGGCAGCAATGCTGGGGGCACTTTTAAGCCCCAGAAAGCAAACTTTCTCCCTCTGTCCTCTTTTTGCATGTTTTTTCTCTCCAAAGCAGACCACAGAATGGAATTTCTCTTCCCTACTGGATCACAGAAAGTAAAAGTGGGGCTGGGGATTTAGCTCGGTGGTTTCACCGCCTGCTGCACAAGCTCAAGGACCCAAGTTCGATCCCTGGTGCTAAAAAAAAAAAAAAAAAGAAAGTAAAAGTGTTTGGAGCTGGTCATCCTTCCAAGATGTCCATTTCAGAAGGGGTCCTATGATGTTATCTGAGAGGAATGCTGTACAGAGAAGTCAAGAAGAATCTGAACAGTGCCCACTTTGGCAGCAGTCATACTAAAAGAAGAATCTGAACAAACAAACCTTACTGAATTTTTCCACTCAGTCTATCAGCATTTGATCAGATCCTTTCTGTTAAAATCACTTTGCTGCAAGGTTGTCCATGCTTCAATGACAGTTACGCAATGAGGTCTCCATAAAAACCCAAAAGGACAGAGTTTGGAGAGTTTTTGAACAGCCAAACATGTGGAGGATCCAAGATAGTGGTGCACTTGAGGGTGGCATGGAGGCTCTCCGCACTCTTTCCCACATGCCTTGTTCTATGCAATCTTTTCATCTACATCTTTAACAATATCTTTTCAAATAATCCAATAAATATGTTTTGGGTTCTAGCCACCCTGGCAAGTTAATTGAACCTAAGGAGGAGGTTGTGGGAACTCCAAATTACAGCACGCTGGTCAGAAGCAGAGGTGGAAGAACCAGGGAATTGAAAAGAGAGGGTGGAACAGTCCCGGGATCTGATGCCATCTCCAAGTAGACAGAGATAGAAGTGAATTAAATTAGAGGATATCCAGCTGGTGTGCACTGCTATGGAATTAACTGCTGACTTACTGGTAATAGGCAGACATTCTTGCCTTAGGGCTTTTGTACTAGCTATTTCCTCTGCCTGTGACATGTTTCTTCCTGATACAGCATGCTGGGGCCCCTTTTAGCATTCTTTAAAAATATCACCTTTACAATGAAACCTTCCTTTATCCCTTAAAGCTGAAACATCTCTGCCATTCTCTATTCCCTTATTTGCTTTCCATGCCACTTTAAACTTTCTATCCTAACCAGCCTCCCCCAAATATGTTTTTTTCAGTAAGTATTTTTTTGTCTGCTTTGCTCATGTGTAAATCTCCCATCCCCAGCCTCTAAAACAGTGTCAGTTATATAGTGTGTGTCTAAAACATCACTAGTTAAGTCAACAAATCACACCCCCCCCCAAAATACAAGGGACAGTCATCATTGCTTATAAGAGGTAGGCATGGTCACCTTAAAAAACTGAAATGTTACAAAGCACATGGCCATTACAGCTCTCATGTAAAATCAGAACTCAAAGGCCTCACAACACTTGCTCAGCAAAGCAGTATTTTCTTAACACTTCATAATTGTGGACTTTTAATTCTCACATTTAACCTAATGGCATGCAGAATATTACACTCATTGTACAGGTAAGAAAAAGAAGGCAAATGAGAAGAAAGAAGTTTCTCAGGAAACTAGTTATTCAATAAGTTAAGAAAAGCCTCTGGGCCGGGGATTTAGCTCAGTGGTTCTGCCGCCTGCCCTGCAAGCGCAAGGACCTGAGTTCGATCCCCAGTACCAAAAAAAAAAAAGAAAAGCCTCATTTCCTGACCTAGACAAATGTTTTACCCATTATACAAATGTTTCCTTGATAGCACTCTCAGGAATATAAATAACGGTTTAAGTATGTTGACTTAATTCATCTAGTCACTAATATTTATCGAGTGCATAGTAAGGGTCATGGACTGTAACAGATACTAGGGATGAAGTGTTAAAGATGGGCTTTACTCCATCATGGAGATTAGTAAAACTTGTCAGACTGTTACTTTACCTTTCTGTGCTCATGATCAATCATGACATTATGGGGCTTCACATCTCTGTGCATAATTCCCATGCTGTGACAATAATCCAGGGCCTGAGAGAGAAAGAGGTAAGAAAGGAAAAAGTCTGCAGAAGAGTGATTTTTTTTTATACTCCCGACTTTTTCTTCCATGTATGTACACCTTCTAGCTCACAGTGACCCTGGGAATCAGGATCAGGACAGTAACTTCCACAGCTATTATTCAGTAACATGTTCAGGATCCCATAGTCAAGCAAACTCAGGTCTCTGAACCTCAAATTGTTCTTTATAGGGTTATTTAAAAATTCTGTTCAGAAGAAATCGAAGCATACACCAACTGCACTATTTCTAATTTCTCCCTCTTATTCAAAGCCTAGATTATCTCCAGAAACACAACCTCTTAAAATATCTGAAGAACAGGTAATTCTTTAGAGGCTAAGAATATAAAAGAGAAGTTGACAAACTGCCACGGGCTAAATCTGGCCTGCTGAACTTTTTTGTGAATAATGCTTCACTGACACACAGTGAGCCTATTTGTTTGCATACTATCCATGGCTGTTTCTGTGCTACAAAAGCGAAGAATACTATGACAAAGACCCTTTTGGCTTGTGGAGTTTAAAGCACTCTTTGGCCCCGATCGAGGTCATCAATTAATCCACTTTGAAAAGTTTGTAACCTCAAATTAAGGTGAACTGAGTGATGTAAGCTTTGTGTTTGTTAATCCTGGCCTTTCAGTCAACTGATGTCATTTGCCAAGTTCTTGCCTTTTCTCAAAGGCAACTTGGATTCCTACAGCTAGCAAAGCTAAGCAAGCATGTCCATAACTTTCTGAAACTTTGCTTGGCACAAGATTGCATGAACAAATGGAAAGGTCCAATCTCTTTTGGGTACTTCTAAGGTTCAAGCAATAGGCCTGATGCCAACCCTTGTTTAATAAGAAACCTTAGCCAACTCTCAGCAATTCTTGCCTCTATAAAGTTGATAATGTAACTACTAGGAGGAAGATATATTTGGTGATCTCATTATCAAAGTCCATTCTCAATCAGCAATCCCTAAGCAGAGATTTACACAATCCTTAGGATAATGACCTTTTGAAGGCTGAGTTAAAGTTTATAGTTTCACTTGTTCAATTTTAAGTGAAATAAAGTACACTGGAAGCTAGCAGATCAAGAGCTATTTTTATGTTTTGACAATATCATTTACACTCTCGGTTCTTTTCCAAACCCTCTGCAAAGCATTAAAAACTGAACTCCTATTACTAAATACCATCTTATAAAACTTACATTAGCCCAAGGGTTTGAATACTATTAAATTATTATTAAAAACTTACACTTATAGGCCCTTTCTTTCAATGTAACTTTACTAAGTTCACTGGGGTTTCTATCATCAACTGGACTATTTAACAAAGCTAAGGCTAATTTAGATATTAAGTATCCAAAGCTCCTTACCTTCAGAATTTCATACATGTAAAATCGAATATCATAGTCTGTTAACGTCTGGTACAATTGCTGTTAAAAACAAATGCAACATTTCAGCCAAGAAATAAAGCTGATAGGAAGGCAATTTCTCATCCTTACAGTACTTTAAGACTTGGCTCATTTGCTACTGTTTCAAAACCCATATAATCACTGCTATTTCTCCAACTTAACACTCATTTTAAAGAGATACTATGGATTTTCAACTGTGAATGTACAAGTGCAGAAATACTTAAACTTGCATTGGTGAAGTTGTAATTCACTGTTCAGAGAAAATATAACATTTATAATTTACTTTCCTTTTCCATTTACTTTTGGAGCTACTTATAAGACACTCTGGCAAAGACAAAACTCCCTTAAGTGGGGAACTAATCCACCTTCTACAGCACTACTGATCTTCAGTAGGTATGCAGATGGTACAATGCCAAATCTATTGAGCTACTATAATAGAACTATTCCTGTCCAAGAACTGAAAGTAAACTCTGAACAACTGTTATGTAACCTGTCTAGTTTCCAAAGGGCTGCAGAATTTTTACTTGTACATATCTTTAAATACCTAGTGGTATCCTCTGATAGTTTCTTTAAAATTTGTCATTCTAATTCTAAAACAATTTCCCTTTTATTCCTCCCACCTCCCCTTTTGTTTTTTGCAATGGGGTCTTACTATGTAGTTTAGGTTGGCCTCAAACTCATGGGGATCCTCCTGCCTTCCTTTCTCAACAAAAGAGTTCTTCCACTTATTGATACATAACATTCTTGATACTACTGCAAAGGCAAGTCAAATACCTTTACAACTTGTACTCTAAGAAAGTGCCCATATTCTCCTGTTACACTGGAATTAACAAATGTTTGAAATTCAGTAGGCTACTGAACACGTGCTAGAGCAGAAATCTGACATCATCCTTTCCCATTCTCCACCTTTTATGATCTATAGCCCAAGGGGCTACACAGTAGTTCAGTGACAAGACTGCTTGCTTAGCATGAATGGAGCCCTAGGTTCAATTCTCAGCTTCAATGGTGGTGGTAGTGGGGTGTATCGCCCAGTGTTTTTGACAAATTCTAAGGAATAAGCAGTTTCTATTATTATATACACAATATATTTCTTCTTGAATATCCTTGTCTTAAAGTAACTTGCCATGCAGCCAGATCCTGGTGAACATGTACTGATGCCTTTATTAGGGTGGACATGAGCAGAAACTCTCAATGAGTGGCGAAAGTGATGAGATATATGTAGTCATTTAAAAAAACACTAACCATATAAATGGGCACTATATGGAAAATGAGCACTATTGTACAGGACCTTTTCTATCTTATGATTTAGCAATGTAAGGATGAAAAGTTCTTTTAAAACAAGTGAGGAACAAGTTCTTCTAATCCTATCATCCACAAATGGCTCTCTATGTGGTCTAAAAACCCCATAGCTTTAAATATTTGGCTATATGTTATACCTTGAAGTCTGTGTTGTTTACATGTTCAAAAACCAAGGCGGGGGTTCGTGACTAGGGGAAAAAAAAGACACACACACATTAGTAATGGAACTGGCAGTTTGGGCAGGCACAATGTTTGCAGATGCTGCATGGTGAATTTGGCAGGCCTCGCCTCAGTAGTAAGAAACCCTCTTTTGTGATAAGCCCTCCCCGCTACGATCACCACCACTTAGGTCATTTTAAGGATGGATTTCAAACAGAAGACATGGAGCTGAAGTCTCACCAGGCTCTAGGCAGCCCAACAATGCGCCCATCGCCCATCAGCATCGGACCTGAGTTTGCAAAATGGATTAAGACATTTCAGTTTCCAGTGCTATCAGTCTCTTAGCCTAGAAGAATAAGAAATAGTCTGTGGGTCTCTTTGAAAGAAAGACCTAAGCTAGTTAAAATGGCATGCTGGATTAAGCACTTCTAAAGCAGGAGTTAATGCTGAGAGTTGGGGGAACAGAAAGGTCAGTTGTGCTCCGGGTCTATCTCAGGCCTAGTGGGCCTTGCTAATGCCTATGATACTCACCACAGGGTCTTTTACAATGTCTGCCAATGTGATGATATTGGGGCCTCCTCTTAAATTCTCCAAAATCTTTATTTCACGCTTAATTTTCTTCTTTTTTACTGGCTAAAAGGGTAAAAATGTACCAGTGAAAAAAATTTCAGAACATTTCAACAAGTAGTATAAGATATGAAGGTTTCAGACTTCTCTCTGAATTCTCTTCTCCTCGCACTATGCTGGTAACTCTGCAGATACAAAAGCTAAATTAAAGGAAAAAAAGATTTCCATTTCAACAACCAGAGCTCTACAGAATTAACGCATCAACAGCCCCCCTCATATTGGGGATTGAACTCAAGACCTTGCACTTGCCAAGCAGGCACTGTGCTGAGCTACATCCCCAGCCCATATTAACAGTCTTAATATGTTGTGTTTCAAAACTTTACTTACTAGCAATTTAACTGGTTAGCAATACTAAGATATAGCAATAAAAAAACCCTTTATAATGGGAGTCATTTTTATTTCTTCCTCTTAAGTCTATGTTACAGAAGGTGAAGGAAATCAGGGCCAACAGCAAGGACACTCAAACTGTCTTTGTTTAGAATAACCTGGAGGTAAAGTGGGTCTTTGAGTCAGATTGTTTCATGTAAATCCCACCTTCAATGGGCTTGCTATGTGCCTATGAGTAAATTATATAACTTCTTTAGGCCTTCATTACATGTAAAAGGAGTAACAAACACACAACCAGAATCAAGTAAGATACCTGAAAAGACCCAAAGTATGGCTGGGACATAATACATAGTAAGATCTGTTTGCATTATTACCAAAATGCTTATAAATAAATCTCTTTGGGCGCTGGGAGATAGCTCAGTGGCACTGTGCCTGCCTGGCAAATGCAAGGTCCTGAGTTTAATTCTCAGTACTGAAAAAAAAAAATCCCTTCATTTTAAAAGACTGCTATGCACAGCTGGGCATGGTGGCGTGTGCATATATTCCCAGCAATCCCAGCACTGGGAGGCTGATGCAGGAAGATCCCCACAAATTTGAGGCCAGTCTGGACTATACATCAAGATCCTGTCTCAAAACAATCAAAAAAGCCAAAACAAACAAACCAACCCCCAAAACAAACTGCTATGCAGAGTCTACATAGTCTGTCTTCCAAATTCTTTTGTCTTCACCCATCTTTTTTCCACATCTGTTTTGGGTAGAAATCTGCATTTTTCTGAGGATTTTGCTCCATCTGTACCTGTACTGGCCCAAGAGAAATATAATGCAAACCTCGTGTAATTTTAAGTTGTCACATCAAAAAGGTAAAAACCAGACCCCCTTTCTCAAAAAAAAAATTGTTTTGGTGGTACTAGGGATTCACCCCAGGGCCTCCGACATGCTAGGCAGGTGCTTACCACTAAGCTACATTCCCAGTCCTTCTCTGAGATAATGTCTCTGTCTCAGGGAGACAAGTTGCCCAGCTGGGTCTTGAACTTGGGACCCTCCTGCCTCAGGCCCCTAGTGTGCTGGGATTGTAGGTATGCAGCACCATATCCCACTAATCCATGGTTTCCTTATCTTTGCTCCTATTAGAACTCAGCACATTAGCTGGAAAGCAACATGATCAGTTTTTCTTTCTTGCTCCAACTAGTCAGATATTTTTGATCTGGTAGCCTGAGAGACCTTTTCCTCATCCAAAGACTAACACATCAACCCACTTCCTATTTTCTACCAAGTTACTACTTCCCAACAGCTGGCTGATGGCAAAAAGCTACTGTTTATAAAATTTATTTACAGAATCCTTCTAATCTATAAATTTACAGAGCTGGTTCATTACAGACCACGCAGGTGATTTATACTCTAATGTGATCAGTATAACTTTTATTATTAGATGAATAGGGAGAGATGAAAAATTTTAAATACAGTTTATTTATTTTTTTTTTGGTACCGGGGATTGAACTCAGGTCCTTGAGCTTGCGAGGCAGGCGGCGGAACCACTGAGCTAAATCCCCGGCCCTTAAATACAGTTTATGAAAGAACTTCACCTGTAAGTATGTCACCTACTGCATACTCATACTTGCAGTGTACAGTACAATTAGTAAAACTGAGCTGAAAAAAAAATTCTAAATCACCCTTCACTCAAAAACAATAAGCGCCCACCTACCTAGAGTATAAAGTCATAATTTTTTTTTGTACCGGGGATCAAACTCAGGTCCTTGCGCTTGTGCAGCAGGCGGTGAAACCACTGAGCTAAATCCCTGGCCCAAATCGTAACTTTTAAGACCAGAAGGAAATGCAAAGATTAGATTTCTAGGACTTCACCAATTTAATTTCCCTTTTCAAGTCCATCTCTCATGTATGGTCATATGATATCTACAATTCAAGTGTGTCCAAGCTTTTAGTTTATTTGTCTGGGCTGCACTGAGTAAAGAGGACTTGTCTTCGGCCACATATAAAATATATAATTAATGTATGTAACAAAACTTTGATTGTTTATATTTGTTATAACATTAAAAAGAGAGGGCAAGTTTCCTGTACACAAACAACAGACTCACTGAGAGAGAAATTAGGGAAACAATTCCTTGTACAGTAGCATCCAAAAGAAATATCTAGGAATCAATCTAACAAAGGAAGCAAAAGACCTCTACATTGAAAACTATAGTACTCTGAAAAGAGATTGAAGAGGATATAAGAAAATGGAAAAACATCCCTTGTTCCTGGGTAGAAAGAACCAATATAGTGAAAATGGCCATACTTCCAAAACTGCTTTATAGATTCAATGCAATCCCAATTGAAATCCCAACAGTATATTTCACAGAACTAGAGAAAACAATCCAAAAATTCATTTGGAACCAGAAAAGACCTAGAATAGCAAAAGCAATTCTGGGTAATAAAGACATGACAGGGTATCACATTCCCCAACTTGAAAGTATACTACAAAGCCACTGTGATAATACTGGCAAAGAAAAAAGACCCCAGGATCAGTGGAATCGATTAGAAGATGCAGAAACAACTGCAGACATACTCAGCCAACCATCCTCTTTGACAAAGGAGCCAACCATTCTCACTGGAGGAAAGACAGCCTCTTTAATAAATGGTGTTGGAAAAACTGGATTTCAACCTGCCAAAAATTATAACTAGACTCCTATCTTTCATCATGCACTAAACTAAAATCCAAGTGGCTTAAAGATCTAAATATTAAAACAGAAACACTAAACTTGCTGGAAGGTAAGTTAGGTAGAACTCTTGAAGACACTGGCATAGGAAAAAACTTTATGAACAAATCCTCAGTAGCATGGGAACTAGAACAAAGAATCAACAACTGGGATCTCATCTTATTAAAAAGCTTCTGCACAGTAAGAGAAACCACCAACAGCATGAAGAGACAACCTACAATGTGGGGAAAAATTTATCAGCTATTCCTCAAAGGACTACTATCTAGAATATATAAAGAACTTAAAAAAAATCAGACCCCCCCCAAATATAAAGACCCAATTCAAAATAAAAGCAGCAAATAAACATACGAAAAAATGTTCAACATCACTGGTCATTCAAGATATGCAGAAGATAACAACAATGAGATTCCAGCTCACCCCAGAAAGAACTGCTATGAAGAAATCAACCAATAACAAATGCTGGAGGGGTTGTGGGGAAAGGAACCCTTCTCTGTTGTTGGTGAGAGTGCAGACTGGTGCAACCACTGTGGAAATCCGTATGGAGATACCTCAAAAAACTGGGATTAGAGGTCCCACTTGACCCAGCTTTTCTTTTTTTTCTTGGTACCCGGGATCGCACTCGGGTCCCTGTGCTTTCCAGGCAGGCAGCAGAACCACTGAGCTAAATCCCCGGGCCCCACCCAGCTATTATTCTGCTGGGTATCTTCCTAAAAGAATTAAAAGAATCATACCACAGTGATAAACGCGCACCCATGTTTATAGTGGCACAGTATGTAATAGCTAAAGCCTGGAAACAGCCCAATCGCCCATTAACTGGAGACTGGATAAACATGTAGTTTATTTATAAAATGGAGAAATGGGGCTGGGGGTTTAGCTCAGTGGTGCTGCGGCCTGTCTCACAAGTGCAAGGTCCTGAGTTCTATCCCTGGTAAGAAAAAAAAAAAAAAAGAGTACAATTATAAAATGGAGTACTGAGTAGTACTCGGCCATAAAGAACAAGAAACTAGAGACATTTATAGCTAAATGAATGCATACTGAGGCCATACTCTTAAGTGAAATAAATAGGACACACATGTGTAAATACCAAATAGATTCTCTGGTGTGAGAAACTAAAAGTGTAAATAAGGATCAAAATATATAACTGATGTGAAATAGGAAGAAAAGGTGTAAAGGGGTAGGGAAAAGGAAAGAAGGGAAAGGAAAAAATATGAGAAAAGGAAAAAATGGAAACAGAGTTTTTGTAAACAGGGAGGGGTGGAGGGGTTAAAGGGAGGGCAGGGGAATGGGGAAAAAATAAGAACCAAGATATGTCATGTAAAGGTATAAGTTCCCAATGATGACTGTAACTGTATTGTATACCTAAAATGTACCAATAAACTTAATGAAAAAAATAAAGAGAGGGCAAGTGGACTGCAGGTTGGACCTGCCTGTTCTTTCTCTCACTTCTTTCTTTCTTTTCCTCTTGGTTCATCCTAGAAAATGCTTCCCTTCCCTACTACTCCCCCACCAAAACCTACCCAAATCCTCCTCTCATTCTGCCTGAAACCAGTGTGAGGAGCTTTTCCGAACTTCCAGCCTCTTCTGTACTACAGATCCTCATATGCCTTTCATATGGCTGTCAATAATATGCTATTTCATTCTATCATATGCCTTTCCATAAGAAAACCACCCTACAATTAAACAACTTCAGTCTCCAAATATATTTCCGTACATAATTTCTGTATTTGATCCTTATAACAACCCTGAGAAAAGTACATAAAACCACATTATTTCATTTTCACAGATGAACTTCCATGGTTAACTGCTTTTAGTTTATATTAAAATCCAAGTTTCTGATTTCTAGCCTAGTTCTCTTTCTACATGTGTTACAAATATTGAACTCCTTGGTTCTCTGTGGTTCTCAAATGAGGCACTCTAGCCAATTCACAAGAATACTATGGGATATTTTAAATTTTTAAGGAAAATTCATCCAACAATATTTGATATTTGCCAGACAATAGGTTCAACGTTAGATTGAACTATAGTCTTGGCTGGCCTTGTGGCATAACGGTAGCGTGTCTGACTCCAGACTGAACTACAGTCCTTCTGAGAATCTATTCTGTTTTGTTTTTGAGAGAGAGTCTCACTATGTAGCCTAGGCTGGCATTGAACTCATGGTGATCCTCCTGCCTCAGCCTCCCAAATGCTAGGATTACAGGCATGTGCCACCACATCCAGCTGTGAATCTATTTTTAATAAAGCTGGGTTTTCAATAGTTTTGTCAATATGACAAAAAAGCAAATGCTTGGAAAAAAAAAAAGTGAACACAGAAAATCAGTGATGGTGTCCAGTATAATTCGAAGATCTGAGGAGCTGTGTAGTGACTTAGTTTTTCTTTTTAATGAAAGTATATAATTTTAAAGTGACTACAAACTTGTAAAATAGTTATTTAGATGTAGCTACGTACTATTAGAAATTTGTTTTGACTCAGGGGTACCATAAAAAATTACCAAGGGCCCGGGGATTCAGCTCAGTGGCGCCATGCCTGCTTGGCAAGTGGAAGATCTGGAGTTCAACTTCCAGTATCAAAACAAACAAACAAACAAAACTGAGATGAAAAAAGTGTTATGAACTGAAAAAGTGGGAAACTTCTTCTGCCTCTTAGGATGAGTGGAAATGTTCCTGTGGTAAAGAGATCTGAGCTAAGTTCCTAGTACATGATAATACACAGTACAGTAACAAAATTACATCTGCCCTGCAGTGTTTAAAAAAAATCTTGAGCTAACACTGAAAAATCAGAATTCATATGCAAATACAAATACTCTGTTCGTAAAACAGAGTATCAACCAACACTGACTTGTATTGCTACAGGACAATGGTCAGCTCAAACTGAGAAGCAGCAATCTCCTCCTCCAAGTTATGTGCTTCCCCATTTGCCTTAATCCCCATCACTCACTAATCTAAAGCATGGGCAATTACATTAGACTAGCTATACTTGATGTCATCTGCTTACCCCTTAATGCTGGTATTTGTGACTCCTCGTCCCTACAAAGAAAGGTTATCTCTTATTTATTGAAAATAAAAACATGGGGGGCTGGGGATTTAGGTCAGTGGCACCGCGCCTGCCTTGCAAGTGCAAGGTCCTGAGTTTGATTCCCAGTACCACAAAAAAAAAAGAAAGAAAAAAAAAACATGGACTGTAATTAAAAATACAATAAATGAATATTAGCCAAATTGAGGAGACCGTATCTTTACTCCCTTCCTCTACCACAACCTAATTGTATGACTTGAGTCAAATCATTTTTCTTGCTTCAGTTCCTGATCTGTCAGGTAAGTACAATCTATTCTTTTGACTTTAGAGGATGTAATAAAATGAAGGGCCTAAAGCACTCCAAAGGCCTTTTAAATGAGACTTATAAAAAGACATCACCTATTTTTACAAAAAATCTATATTTCAAATACCTCTGAAACTGTCTGTCTTGTACTCACCTTGAGAATTTTAACAACAACCTTTTCATTATTTGTGATGTTGATGGCTTCAAATACTTCACTGTATTTACCCCTGCCTAGTTTTCTAACCAGTTGGTAGTCATCTTGATTTCTGTGGACAAAAATTCAGAGTCAAAATTAAAGAATTTCAAATTAGGGCTGGGGATTTAGCTCAATGGCGCTGTACCTGCCTAGAAAGCACAAGGTTCTGAGTTCAATCCCTGGTACCAAGAGAGAGAGAGAAAAAAAGAATTTCACATTACCAAGCATCAATGAAACTTATAAAATTCTTTCACTAATAGGAATAACATAAGGGGGGTACTTTTTTTGTTGTTTTTTGGTACCGGGGATTGAACTCAGGTCCTTGCGCTTGCGCAGCAGGTGGCGAAACCACTGAGCTAAATCCCTGGCCCCATAAGGGGGGTATTTTAAAAACTTAGGCCATTTAAAAAACATGTGTAAAAAATAAATACATCAAATCCCAGAAAGAGAAAAATTTGGCTTTCAATTATTCCTTCAAATTGCAAATTGTTTACATCCCTAATGGGAAACCACCCAGATTGTATTAGAATTTGTTAAAAACATTTGTCTCGGGCCGGGGATTTAGCTCAGTGGTTCCTCCTCCTGCCTCACAAGCACAAGGTCCCAAGTTCATCCCTGGTACCAAAAAAAAAAAAAAAAATTTGTCTCAAGTAAAAGACCACTTGCCCTTAAGAGAATATTTTTTTTTTTTTTGGTACCAGGGATCAAACTCGGGTCCTTGTGCTTGTGCAGCAGGTGGCAAAACCACAGAGCTAAATCCCCAGCCCTAAGAGAATAATTTTTACACCTTCCTGCCCTGTTCTTCCTGGACCGATGTTGGCAGTTAGTAGGAACTCCACATACACTGTAGTAACACTTCAATTAGGGTATACTTTGGAAACAGCTCTTTTTTTTAGTATGGGGATCGAACTTGGGACCTTGCACCTGCGAGCCGGGCGGCAGCACCACTGAGCTAAAACCCCACCCCAGAAACAGCTCATTTTTTAATGGGCCTCTTTGCAAGTAAATTGCTTTCAAGTATATAAGCCCTACCTCCCACTTGCCCTCCAGCGCAAGCTCTAAGGATCATCCATGCAATACAGTCTGTCAAACGTAATACACATCATAAATCATAGTTAGGGCCCTTTCTTTACTTTTACCCGTATTCTCTGCCAATAAACATCAAAGGTCAGGGATCAGGGATTTAGCTCAGTGGCACTGTGCCTGCCTTACAAGTGCAAGGTCCTGGGTTTGATCTCCAGCACCAAAAAAAAAATATATATATATATCAAAGGTCATAGAGATAAAGGATAAGGGAAATGTCAACATGTCAACAGAACTTTCCCTCCCCTCCAACTTAGATGACTTTGCCCTAAAGAATAACAAACATGATTCCTTTAATAAGGTCTAAATTCCATTTACTCATTTTTTTTCTTTTTGGTATCAGGGATCAAACTCAGGACCTTGTGCTTGCAAGGCAGGCGGCGAAACCACTAAGCTAAATCCCTGACTCTCCATTTACCCTTAAGAGAATCCAACACGTACTAAAAGCCATTCACTGTCTTCTAGCAGCTAAAAAGAAAGCAAATAGGGGGCCGGGAATTTAGCTCAGTGGTGCTGCTGCCTGCTCACAAGGTCCAGAGTTCAATCACTGGTACCAAAAAAAAAAAAAAAGCAAATAGGGCTGGGACGTAACTCAGTGGTAGAGCACTTGCCTAATATGCAGGAGGCCCTAGGTTTAAAATCAAGCATGAAAAAGAAAAAGATGAATAGAGAATGCAAAAGGTACAAGAGAAATGGACAATGTAATAATCCTGACAGGAATATGGGACGAAACCTTTTCCTCAGTTCTCATTGAGGTCTTCTGCAGGAAGGCATGTAAAACAAACACAAACAAGCAAATGGCACCATGTCAAAAACTTTAAAGGGCTGTTTATGCCATTTAAGTAGAAGTGCAAAGCACTCAATGTAAAGACAATGACTGAGATTTCTATAGTTAAATGTAAATATTACCTACAGCTCAAGATCTGTGACATAAGAGAATTACTAGATTATCGAGAGTGATAACATTTATTGGTACTGTACCACTGGGTCTTGATCAAATCTTTAGGGTACATAGTACCTCTTCATTCTAAGACAAAGTACTTTCTGTTTAAGAATCACGGTATAACCTAGGTGAAAATACATCCTATGGCAATTTATGGAGTCTTTAAATAGGCTACGGTGATCATACGAAGTCAGATATAAAATTTGATATACAAGAGCTGTATCTTTTGAGTTTTCAAATTGCTTTCTTTTGCCCTTGAATGTCAAAATGCTTTTATCATGAAAAGTATGATCTGATCAAATAAATGCATGCCACACTGGGATAGGAAATGCAAACATTCAAATGAGTATGCACAGAGAATTAGGAGGGCAAACACAGCTGTTCAGGCAGACTACACTGTTCAAGATGGAATTTGGGCTGAATTCCCTTGTCTCGTGCTAAGGGCAAATGTTTAAGGATTTAATTTTGCTTCTCATCAAAAAGAGGACAGCTTTTTGGAAAACTGTTCCATCCTTTAGTATCACAGGAGAACATTTTCCAATTCTAAAATACGCTTTATGTAAGAATTTTGTGTTTTCAAAATTGCTAAAGTATCAATTTTCACCTATCTGTAATGTCCTTAGTTTGAGAAGCAGGCTGATAGGTTAAATCTTTGTTATCAACTTCAGGTACAGAATATATAAATAAGAGAAAAATTTCAGAGATTAAAATGATTTTTAAATGGTAAGCCCATCAAAATTGTTAACTTGCCACTCTGGTTCCTTACTATAGAACAAAACCTGCAGCTCACAAGAAAACAAAAGTTGGGCTTCAACTCCGAGGTTTGGAGAAGCAGAATCAAGAAGGTTTACCAACATAAATTAGTCAACAAACCCCCAAGATTCAGCCCTCTGAATGAGTATAGTGAAGTAAATGGAAACAATTACCCCCATTCCACCACATGTGACTCATAATCCCAGTACTCTCGGGGTCTGTGCGTATTAACATCTGTGTAAACTCTGGCCCTGCTTGGCACGGGTCCCGACATGTCAGACAGGTTGGCAGACAAAGCTGAACTTGATGTCTGAAGATCTGTCAAACACTATGTTCAGAGGCAGCTGGGGGTAAGACCTTGTTTCAGACCGATTTTCTTCAAACTGCAGAAACAAAATGCAAAAAGGCCAAGAAATTATTTTTTTTAAGTACTTGGGAAGAAAAAGTATAAAAAATATTCATTTTCCAAATAATAACAGTCTCAGATATATGTGACTCTCCTCATCTGTTAATCAACAACTACATCTCAACTATATCAACTAGTGTTTCCTATTAACTTCAGGGGGAGATATATTAAAACTGATATTTGTCCTAATCATATTCTGCAAAGCAGTCTGTAACTTCTGCATGGAATGTTTGAATGTTCTTTGTAGGATTAACCAGGAAGGTAAAGCTGGGCATTGAGGATAGATGTCTTGGCATTACCAAAACCATTTACCCACTCTACAGAAGGTACTGACAAGAGCAGTCAAGTAGGGGCAGAGGCCAAGAGGCCAACTGTCTAACTCAAATAAGTGATGAAACAGGAAAGGAATAATGACTTTTCTCACATATATTCAATGTCATCTTAGTGTTCCAAAACATTTGGGGGACCTTATGTACTAATTAGTAGACATTTGAACACCTCAAAGATATACTTGATTCCATTAAATTTAGAACTCTTCTTTTTTTTGGTACCAGGGATTGAACTCGGGACCTTATGGGATCTTGTGCTTTCGGGGCAGGTGGCGGAACCACTGAGCTAAATCCCCGGCCCTGATTCCATTAAATTTAAAAGTAAAAGGCAGTAATTTTATTTACTTAATACATGAATGAGCTTAATAAAAACTGGTATTATAAGTCATACTTATTAAGGCTGGGGAGTTCGATCCCTGGTACCAAAGTTCCCTGGTAACCCAAGTTTGATCCCTGGTACCAAAAAACAAACAAACAAATAAGTCATAAGTATTAGCTGACCTAATTAAACTGAAGGAAATTAGTAAATTAAAATTAAGACTGAGGGAAACCTAGTAAAAATTTAGAAATATGATTTCTATCAAATAATTTTATCAAATCAAAGCAGATGTCTTCCCTGACTTTCCAATCTTTTTGTCTTTGTGCTCTAAAATTCTTAAGGTATTAGCTGATTCTGTTTACTGTGTGTTTAATTTAAAATGTACTAAGCCTTCAAGTGGTAATCTGAGAAGGCCATCAGTACCTATGCAGTTTACAGTTTTCTAGTTTAGAATCCCTAACCCTCCATCTAATCATTAGTAAACACCAAAAAGAAAAACAAAACTTTTTTTTTTTTGAGACGGAGCCTCATAGTGTACTTCAGGCTGGCCTCAACTAGCAATACTCCTGCCTCAGCCTCCTGAATGGTGCTGGGATTACAGGTATATTACCTCATCTGGATCTTAAAAGGGGACTGGGGTGGGGTGAGCTTGTAATCTCAGCTTCTTAGGAGGTTGAGCTAGGAGGATCAAAGTTGGACTCCATGCCCAGGTGTGGTGGCACAACCTATAATTGCAATACTGAAGAGGCTGAGGCAAGAGGAGTAAGGCCAGCTTGGAGTTTATAATACTTCAAGGCCAGCTGAACTACATAGAGACCCTGTCACCAAAAAAGGTCCAGTCTAGTCCAGACTAGGCAACACAGCAAGACCCTGTGTCCAAAAAAAGAGATGAGGTTGTATGAGGTCTTTACTCCTAAAAAATATCAACTATCAACGTCATAAAAGACAAAGGGAGGCTAAAGAGTTATAGAATCATGACAATTAAATGCAATACCTTATTTACTGCAGACTATCCTCACTGACAAAACCAGAATTTAAATGGCAGACTGAAGTGCTGTACAAATGTACAAATAACATATAACCACATAGTTAAATAAACAGGTGATGATGTACATAATGTATTCTTAAATTAAATGTTCAGGAAAAACATGTGCCCACACGTGTATATATAGTGTACACACAAGAACACACTCACGAATGATAAAACAAAAGGGGTAATAGGTAAATCTAGGCTAAGGGATAGATACAGATGTTCTTTGTTCTATACTCATTTATGTATTTGTTGAAACATTTTAGAAATTGTATTAAAATATACATAATATGAAACTATTTTAACCATGTTTAAGTGTACAGTTTAGTGACATTGAATACATTCACACTGTTGTGCATTATCACTAAAAATCTAGTTCTAGAAATTTTCACTATTTCAAACTGAAATTCTGTATCCATTAAAACACTAACTCCCCACATTCGCCCACTTAGATTTATAATTCTATCTTGTGTCTCCTGTAGTTGACTATTACAGATAACTCGTACATGTGGAATAAAACAATTTGTCCTTTTACACTTGGCCTAGTCAATGTAATGAAGATTCATCTACTTTGTAATGTGTCAAAATTTCATTCCCTTTTAAGGCTGAATAAAATTCCATTTTATGGGGGCCAGGGATTTAGCTCAGTCGTTCCACCTCCTGCCTTGCAAGTGGCAAGGTCCTGAGTTCGATCCCAGGTACCACCCCCCAAAAAAAATTCCATTTTATGTATAAACCACATTTTGATTATCCATCCATTTGTTGATGGATGTCCACCCATTAGCTATTGTGAATAATCATATGACGATGGAGATGTTCAAGTATGTGTGTGTGATCCTGCTCTCAATTCTTCCAAGACATAGAATTGCTGAGTAATCCTAGTAATCCTATGTTGAATTTCTTTATCTTGTGTTCCTAAAACAGCTGCTATTTTATATTCCTACCAATAGTGTACAGGGCACTAATTTCTCCTAGTAGATGTGAAATAGTATCTCACTAATTGTGATTCTAATTTGCATTTCCCTAATGATTAGGATGTTGAGCATCTTTTCCTATGTTTATTGGTCATTTGTATGTCTTCTTTGGGGAAATGACTATTCAAGTTTTTTGCTCATTTTGTTGTCTATGCTTTTGGTGTCACCTCTATACTATTATTTATTTTAATAGTCTGCTATGTAAATTTGAAATTATTTCCAATACAAGTTTAAAACAATGGATATATGAAAATTGATGTCCAAAAGGGAAATTTAGCCAAAACACATTAGGTATTTAAAAGATGTGACCAAAAACTAAGTTTCTGTCACTATCTTATGACAGTGATCTTTCTTGTCACATAAACATAAGCTATTTACACAATAATACACCTACAGGTATTTATTATGTGCTAATATTGCTTTGTAAGGATTATTTCATTTAATCCTCACCATATAAGGAAGTGGTGAGGAAGTTGCCATTATCCCTATTTTACAAATGAGACTGTGATAAAGAAAGATTAAGTATCTTGCCAATGACCATAGAAGGAGCTAAGAATCCCACCTCCTTGGTCTGGCTAAAATAGAGATAAGCATGTTTACCTTTTCTAGGTTTGAAGTTAGAATTCAGTGTTAATAAACTCTGCTTATTTGAAATCTCTGAGACCTGTGTCATTCCAAAGTCTTAAACCAGAATTTGGATACCATACTAAGAAAGTTAAGGCAGAAAACCCATTAGCCCATGATTTTAGGGTCTTAACACTTTCAGAGGAATAACAAAAAGATTGGAATTGGGGGAAAGCATTAACACTATATCCCTTGACAGTCAATGATACCAGTGCTCTTGCCTCCAAACAGCCATGAGATCAAAAGATCCATGCGTTTATTTATGAATTCTCCCACCCAAGAAACTCTTAACTTGCTTCTGCTTAATGTAAACCTTCAGGATCCTATGAATATAAGCTCATTTAAATGGCCAGAGAACAACTAAGTCATGCAAGTACTAGGGCAGAAAGCAGGACCTTTTTCTTATAATTTTTCTTCCCAAAGACACATCATCTGGGCTACAGTATTACTCACTTTTTCTATGACTACTATAACTCCACTGACAGCAGCAAAATAAGTCAATAAAAGTGGTAATACACGTAAAAACAGCAGTAGTATAAACAATAGTATTAATCCAACAGAAATACTGTTCCCAGGAATTTAGAACTTTGGGGGAGGATACCAGGGATCGAACTCAGGACTTTGTGCTTTCAAGGCAGGGGCGGAACCACTGAGCTAAATCCCCAGCCCAGAACTTTTAATACTAAACTTTTAAATTCTCAGCTTCTGAGAGACAGCATCTTTCTCTTTAGTCGCTATACACTTTTACAGACATTCTACTCTTCTGGTTGATATCCTTCATCTGTAGCTCTCAAAACCCTTTCCTTAAGAGCTTAAGAAATACGTAAAATCAACATACATTTACTAAATGGGACTAAAAAGATACATTAGGGTGACAATACAAGCAGCTTAGTTTCATGGTTCCAAATCCCTGATGGCTACAGGACCTCAGCTGGGCTTCTCTCAGTTTTGGTTCATCACTTCTATAACCTGTCCAACTACACTTGAAGACTAAAGTGCAGATCAAGTAAGGTGATTTTTCCAGAAAGAATTTAGAAACATCAAACATATATAAGTTAGAATTAGATGATTGCTATGTCTTAGCTCCATAGTGAAAATGATTACGCAGAAACTTATCTTTAAAAGATTGGAACCTGCTGGGTGTGGTGGCACACACCTGTAGTCCCAGCACTTGGGAGGCTGAGGCGGGAGGATCGCTTCGAGTTGGAGGCCAGCCTGGTCTACATAGTGAGTTGAAGCCAAGCCTGAACTACATAGTGAGACCCTGTCTGAAAAAAACAAAACAAACAAAAAAATTGGAAACTGTGCTTAATCCCAGTCTCCGAGTGCTAACTCATCACTGGACGTGAAATGTATACCTCTACTTGAAAACCATGTGACTCATGACTGAAATATTCCCCAACTCCTATTCACCATTCCATGTATCTTTCCATCACATGCATTCTTATCACCTACTCTCCCTCTGCTCTCTTCAGGCCTTGACATTCTCTGTGATGATCAGACAAGACTAATTACTAATAAAACTCTTGAGATTAACAAGTACTGGTTTGAATATTTGCAGCTCTAGGTTTCCTCAGCTGGGACCTAATTTATGAACCTGTGGATCTGATTCTTCTCTGGGAGGACAAGTAGCTGTTTTGCAGCACCCCCTCCCCGCAATGCTCAACTCTACTGCCATGCATACCAAATAATATGTTTACA